GTATGGTACAATACGATACGATGTGATAAAGTACAATATTGAATGTCAGTTGTTACTGGAGGAAAGAGAATCCAGAAGAATAGGGGTGGCTTAAAAAGGAGAAGTTGGGAATGAACAAAGCAAGAAATGGGAACTAGGAAAAAAAGAAAAAACTTAGTAGGACATAGCAGAATATTGTATAGTAAATTAGTAGGAAGCTTTAGAGGAATAAAGATGAGATGTTTTTACTATTTTTATTTTTATTAGAGAACAAAGTATGAGTCTGTGGAGACATCTAATTATAATATTTATTTGGGACCTTGATGGACAAGTTTTGCCAATCTTTTAAATAAATAAATAGAAATGAAATAATATATACATATACATAGAGATGAAATAAATATGTACACACACAAATGTGTATGCAGTATACATACTTCCCAGGCGAGTAGTATTCAAAATGTGGTCTGTAGACTGCTATTGGTTTGTGATAGAAAGAGAAATTGAGAGTAAACATTTTGAAACTTAATAGCAATTTAACATTGCCATAACTTTATTTTTCTTATACTTTACAAAAGTATGAGTCTGTGATGCATTGGAAACCTAAAGAAGTTTTTTTTTAATTATCAGGTGATCATAGTTTCCTTTGCTTAGAGTGGATATTTAAATGTTAATTTGTTTTATGCAGGGTGTGGCCGGAAATCCCATGGTGAAATCTGTGCTTGATAAAACAAAACATTCAGTAGAAAGCATGATTACAACGCTGGACCCTGGCATGGCTCCATATATCAGTACGTACTTAAGATATACCAGCAGCTGCCATATTTTTTAAAAGTTGTGCCAATGTCAGCCACTAATTGTAATTCCACAGGTCTTGTAATCAGTGAAAATCCCCTGATATTCTTTAGCATATGTGGTGCCAAAGTTAGCACCTCTTGTGTTAAGTTGATTGTCAAGTATTAGTTTCTGTTATTTTAATTCCTCTTTTTCTTAGTTAAATACCATTAAATACATTTTGAAAATTCAGAATGAACTTTGGAGGAGTGATAAGGATATGAATTCATAGTGTACATACTTACTGATTTTAAGTAAAAATATGGTTAGTGTTGCTTTTTATGAATTTTCCTTTATTCACTTGATATTTAAAGTGATGCTTTGTTCATATTAGATTTTGATGTTTATCCAATATCTATTTTGTATTTATGCTTAACTCAATAATATTTTTAGAGGAAGTTGATCTATTAAATAATATCTGATTACTAGGTTTATTGTGAAAGCTGTTTTAACCATTTTTAAATCCTCATTAACAAAAATCTTCCAGACATACTGTATTCCATTTAATTTTTAGTGTATATATCCACTATGTGAAAAAACATAATTGCTTAGCAGTATCACTTACCAGTTATTAGTGATTTTGTTGAAGGTAACTTAAAAGCCAAAGCTGTGTACCAGGTACCTGAATAGAGATTTTCAGTGGCAGTTAAAAGTCAATAGCCTTCATGAGTCTTGACTGTGTTGGTAGTTTAGTATCTATTAAGTGTCAGAGAACCAGATATAATAATGATAAGTACCATTTATTAAATGCTTACTCTGCCAAGCACTAATCTTCACAAGAGCTCTACAAAGTAGGTATTATTTTCTTCAAGTTTTAGATGAGGAACCTAGGTTCAGAGAGATTTAAGGTATTTTAGGTCACATAGCTTGGTGGAGCTAAATTGAAACCATGTTCATTTTTTTTTTACATTTAGTCACTTTGCTTCCCTTGAAGTAGAAAATTGAATCAAGAATTAAATCAACTGTATTCTTGATGTTTATAACTGCCAAAGGATTTAGAAATCGGACCCTACCATATATATTGATTTTTATATATTAATAATTAAGTTTGCTATAATGAATGTATCATATGCTTTTTTTCACAAGCTTCTATTTTGAATGAGAGAAAGAAAGGAATTAGTATTTTTGGAGCTCTTGCTCTTTTAATGGGTTCTGTGTTAGACAGTGAAAGCAATTATTTTTAGAGCAAGCCCTGTGAGGTAATAGGTATTTTTCTCTGAAGAAATAAACTCTGACTTCAGCAAGATAATGAAGCTGGGTAATGATAAAGTCAGGACTCAAACCCAAGGCTATTAGATAATATCTAATAAAGAGACGGCTATTAGCTATTAGATACGGATATTAGATAATATCGTAACATATAATCTTAATCAGTTAGCTTTAAAAAGTTATAGTGAGTGTGAAAAAGCCAACACTTTCCTGACAGGCAGCAAAAGCAAGACCATTCTTATCTAACAAAACTCAAAGTGAAACTTACAATATTTTTATACAAATATTCTAGAAATCACTTGATTTAACAATATTAAATATATCAAAAAGCACAAGAGCTATTAGATATGGACTTTAACACAGTTTAACTTTCTACATTTTAATTAATTCTCCCTTCGTTATCATGAAAAGTGGCACTGGTCATCAACAAAAAGTCTGAAAAACCTTTTGAGCAGAAGCTTAATGGAGATAGTACTCAGCTAGGGTCAAGAGATATGTCCCACATGTATGAGAAAAAAATGAAAAGGGTATTTTTTTCTCTCCTATGTGAGCCATTGCTTTTAGGTTTTAGTATCTTCTGAAATTCCAGTGAAGATAGGATCTGTGGAACATTATGTCAATTAGGAAAAAAGGGATCCATAATAGAAAGCCCAAATATTTGGAAAATATTTTCAATTGTTCTACAAGATATTAGGGAGAAACATAGCATCGTTTCCGAGGAAAAATATTTTATAACTCAAGAAATCTCTTACCAGTGATTGCCTAATGCCAAGTAGCAAAATATACTGTGCTTAGGACCAGGCCTTTGAATTTAGCATATCACAAAATGTTAGATCAAGATTTTAAAAACGATTAGGCATATTTGATCAAATTACTTTAAATAGTACTCAGGTTTTTGAAATAATTGAAATATTAAAAATGTTTTAAAATATTTTAATTTCATATTGCTCTTAGCCTTTTTCAATTTCAAGTTTTATAAAAGTTGGTATTTTACTTTTTATTTCTGCTTGCATATTTGTGTTAGGACAGTAATGGATGTATAATTTCTAAATATCCATTTGTGGTATATGCTTTTTGTTTTCAATGATGGGGACATAAAATAAAAATGTTTAACTCATATTTTAAACTATTTTCTAGATAAAACATATTTTATGGTAGTCTTGTTTAATGCAGAATTTCTGCGCAACTCTGATAAATTATATCAGTAATAGTCATTTTCATTTTCTATAGAGCATCCCAAATGTGTAACTTACACTTCACAAGCCAGATATTTAGTTTCTGTAATTGCTCCATAGATGAAGGACTGGCAACTATGGCATCCATATGGTATTAGAATTTAGTGTATAATAGATGGATGTCTTTATTAACAGAAAAACCATTTTGATTTGCTATCTTAAAAATGCAGTAAATGTGTCAGTCCAGAGTTTAAACTAATCAGAAAATGAAACTTGGCTAAATTAATAGAGTAATATAGTAAAAAATAAACTTTTCATAGTGGCTATAACATTATTTCTCAAATTGATACTGTAGAACACTTTTTAGAGTTGTTATTATATGCTAAAAAAGTATTCCACAAACAGATTTAAGTATGAAAAGTATTGGGTTAAAGCCATGATTTTTAATTGTTGGATTTCTCAGAATCTTTATGTTAATGTGCGTTGTAAATTTCCAAGAAAGAAATATGGCGTGCATCATCTCCCAAGCTTATTTGACCACAGAACACTGTTTTCACGGGGAGCTACTAATAAATTCTGGAACAGTATTTCACAGACTACAGAACAGTATGCTCTATTTGTGGTAGATGTGATACTCAGAACCATTAAAAGTTATGCGCCATCTTCTGCTTAAATTCTCGTTTTTAAAACTATGGAAAATTTGGTATACCGTTCAGGGCTAAGCGTTTGTTGGAATAAGATGCCTGTATCTTGGATCATTCTGTGAGGTTAGTGATAATTTTGCAAATTAAATGTTAACATGATGGGAATTATGAGAATTCCATTATTTTTGAATCAAACTTTTCTTCTGGTCTTTGTAGAATCTGGAGGTGAACTGGATATTGTAGTGACTTCAAATAAAGAAGTAAAAGTTGCTGCTATCCGGGATGCCTTCCAGGAGGTCTTTGGCTTAGCCGTGGTTATAGGGGAAGCTGTTCAGTCCAACATTGCCCCGCAACCAGTAGGCTATGCAGCTGGATTAAAAGTGAGTAACAGAACACCTTTTTCAGGATATAGAAACAGGCAGTTAATTTTTTTATAATTCTGATAATTCTGTGGTTTCTATGGAGCTAATTGGTTTTTACATACTGAAATAATGGTAAGCTTGGTTTTTAATTAGACAGCTCTATAGTGTTATGAAGATACAGGGGAGTTTTAAAGAAACCTAAGATTGGTTACGATTATTGGGGGGAGGGGAGGAAACATGCAGAGAACACAAAAAGTTAAGTAGTCCTAAAAGAGATCTTAACCCAGTGTTCAAATCAATTACTAAAGATATAATAACCCTTGAGTCCTATAAGTTTTTATTACTGTCATTATTAATAATACTTTACACTTAATTCTGTTTCTTCAGGGTTAGGTTCCTATGAGCTTGTAGTCACAGCATTTTTGCCAGCTGATCAATTCATAATTTTGTTTTATATCTGCTTCTGTTTAAATACGCCTTGATATATATATACATATATATATACTATATATAAAATACATATATATACTATATATAAATATATATGTATATATATATTCATTAACATTGATTCATTAACATTGAACTCTCATGGCTGACAGTACCGTAACTCATGTCTAAATGAGGCTTATCTAACATACCCATTTTCTCTGTAAAGTGCATCACAGTCTTCCTGTGCTTGGAAACACTAGACAGCACTTTATAAAGCACTATACTTGGGGGCCATTTTAAACAGCAAAATCAGCAAGAAAAGGCACAACCATGAAAAACATAGCACTAAATATGACAAGCCAGTCATTGTTATGATCATTGTTTTATAGCTTATATTCAGATGTAATTAATATCTACAAGCATATATGAAAAAGCATGAAATTTTAATATTCTAAACCAAGTCTCTAAGTTCTTAGAGTACAGCATAAGCTCTTAAGGGCCTTTGTGTATCTTACTTCAGTTCTGAAATAATTACTTCAGTGTAGCCTCTATATTACCTAATTCTTGATCACCTATTATACTGCTAGAAAATAAAGGTAAAATTCTATTCTTAAGCCCTTGGTAGGGACTAATATTAAAGTGTCTGTAATTGTGACTCCAAAAGATGCCATGTTTAATAATGTGGTTGGAGGAGAAGAGAAGTCAGTATAACCCCCTCTTTTTCTCTTCCAGATTCCATAAACAAGCAAAGAAAAAAAGAATTAAAAATGTCTACCTAGCTCACTTTCATCTCTCTTATAGATGCTAATTTCAATGAAATATTTTGTGACCCCTATGAAGTATAAAGTCCAGAGCTGTAGGATAAAGGAAATGAACAAACTTAGTCTCTGTTCCAGAAGCATAAAATCTAGAAATACTTTGTTGTAATGTGTAGCTAAAATACCACCTTCAAAGGGGGATGAATTTCTAAACATCCCACTAATTCCCTAACAGTTACTGAATTAACATTTATTTTTCTTTTTTCTTTTTTTATTTTTTTGCTGTGTTCAATTCAAAGATTTATAATTTATGTGGGTTCATAATCTATTTTAAAATTATTAATTT